AAAATTCAGTAATTTTTAAATGCACAAGTATATATGCTCAAAATGTCCATCACCATTTTCGATTCACTCACGACACCTTCGAATCCAATTTTCGGGTACTCGCTGGAAAACGCCTCAAGAAAAGGAAACAGTGGTACGCAAAAAACACTCAGACGCGGTCCAATTCCAGATACCAACTGAATTGCGTAATGCTGGACAGCTTAGTACCTCGTGCTCGATATGAATTTTTATCGAATATTAAATTTATTACAACGCTAATTATTTTTTAGAATTAAGCATAAAGAAGTAAAAAGTGATAAACGTTGTATTTTATGGTTTTCTATGCACGCAGTTATGTCAATATTCCTTAATTAATTGAACATCAAGTTGGTGATTTTGATAATTTTTTTCTCGGAAATGGACCCATGTCATATAAGGTTTTTTGTCTATTTTAATGTATTCTATTCTGTTAAAATTAAGGCTGTCAAACTTCTAACACCTTGTATAAAATTATAGTAGGCCATGCGTTCGCGGCCCATAGGAAATAGTTGTCAAAATAATAACCGCGCATGAAAATAGCCCCATTTAATTCTGCCAGCTCGCTTGCATTTAAGGAAGTTTTTATACTGACTAATTTGATACGACTAAGTAGGTTAAGAATCTGCATTTGTTTGCATAATATTCGCATTAGACAGCTTGAAAGTTTTCATTCAAAGATTTCAAGTTATAGATATAATATTCTACACGAAAACAAGTAGGTAGGTGCTTTTTCCTATTTCTTCAAATAAACATACATGTAAATAACAGCTATGTTTAGTATAATTTTTTTCTCTTTTATAACACACACCTACTTGTAACGACCACATTAGGTAAAATCAAGAGGTTGTAAAATCTTTTTAATATATTAGTAGTATATGTGAATGTTACTACCTAAATTATTACTGGTAATTTACTGAACAAGTTTAGGTGAGGCCGCTCTTAATATATGCTTTTGAATGTGAAAATCCTCTCAGCAGGTGCCACGCATTTCTCTAGGATCATCTGATTTAGTGATTTAGTGAATATAAATAAGGTACCTATATTTAATTAGCAGATTAATTCCAAGTGACTTAAGATTTCACAACTCCCTCCCAAAAACTTGTAGAGTATTTCACAATCTTAAGAAGTAACATTTCACATGTACAACAGATATGACCAAAACAGTTTGCCATAAACACAATGCATTAGAAAGAGGTTATCGTTAACATACCTTTTTTTACGTTTTGATGTAATCTAGGAAAGTGAAAAAAGTAAAGTAAAATAATAATTTGGTGATCTATGATGAATGTTACAAGAAAATTAAAGGTGTCATTCGAAATCATTGCGAGTTATTCAAAAAACTCTGTTTTTGGTAGTGCATCTTTATCGCCCTGTAACATATTTGGGACTCATGTTCATATAATTTTTTTACTTTAATTGTCATTTCCTATCCCCTGTTTCAGTTTACCATCTTATTTTAGCAACACCCTGTATAAACACAACCACTATTAGGTAATTAAAAATTTTTCGTCACGTTTAGAGTGAAATACAGACCTAGTAAACTATACAGGTTTCAAGAAGATCATGAACCCGGTTGTACCATCTAACTTACCGTGTGAAAAATTAATACATTTTTCAGATATGCGTTCCAAATCGTAACTCATCGCACATCATCCTTTCTCCAATAATTTATAAATAAGTACCCATTAGATAAACGTCTGTTACTTCTGGGATATATCGCATAGCCGTTAGTACAAAAATATGAACAGACTACGCATCAAAATGCATTTAACCGCTACGCTTTCTTTGCTCGACTTGCTGCACTTCATGATACTCCACTTGAAAGTGGCCAATGATTAATTTTTATTAGTACAAGTCGGTCTGGAAGATTTCTAATAGGTTGAGGCATTCCTATACATTAACTCGTAAAATTTAACAAAGTAAAAGTAAGACTGAGAGTGCAAGGAACAAATAAAGTGCATTAACAGAATTAAGAGAATTACTATTTGCGTCGACTAGAGTTCAGTTACCTCCAATCGTAAAATTCAGTTATCAAGGGAATTATTGCCACTGGAACTCAATTTACAAGTAAAGTGTATCTAATGGGATAATAAATAGATTAGTTTTTGTAAACTCTGCAAAATTGTGGCAAATTTAAAAACCGCAAGTTCTATTTTTCTGTCACAAATCAAGATAATAATCAGAAATTCGTAAAAAAGCTGAAATTATGTACAACTTTCGCCGGAATTTGTATTAGCTATTTTTTTCTCATAAAATTAACAAATTTCGTTGTAACATGACCTTGTTTATATCACGCAGATTTAATTATAATTTTAACAATGTTACGTAGTTTCATCCGACAGAATAAGTCATATTTAATGACATGTATGTGATCAAGTAGCCGAAAGTAATTCAATTCGTTCGTAAGATTTCAAAACGTGACCGGCTTGTAAAGTACCCGGTAATAATTTACTGGAAACAATGAAATTAGTCTACTTGCCCGATAGTTACTGTTCCGACTAAAAAGTTCCTTTGTTTCCACAAATATAAATGTATCCGCATTGTAAACAATTGAGATCTCGAGATGTTAATGTCACTTCTTGGAAATGGTGCAATCTGTACTTGTAGAATAGACGAATGCCAAAAATGACTTTTACAAAGAGTGAAATTAATTAAAGTGCAAGTGAAAATACGTGTACTTTCAACGAACTTAAATATAACATATTTACAAGATTTATTGGTTAGAAATATTAATCCCTCTCAAAAATATTCACAATTTAATCAAATTAATTTTAAAAAAAATCGTTCATATATATTCACTCAAAAAATGATAAAAAAAAATCATTTTGTTATTTATTTTAGCACAAAATGGTTGACATAATCAATAATCTTATACTGGCAAATACACTGTACTTTATCTATATACAGCACGTTTCTTACATAGGAACTTCAGAAAGTTATTTCTTGGATAGTTTGTTGAATGATTTTCGATACATTTATCTAATAAATATTCTTCAGCAAAATAAATGCATTTTTCTTTAATGAATAATTAATGGAACAAGTGCACATCTACCACATCCATCATTTTAACTAATTACATAGAAATTAGTGCCTCAGGAGCGGTTATAATTATATAGTTTCTACATACGTGATATGGAATACCATTTTTTAATATTTTAATAATAGATACTAATAACCTAACAATATTAGTGATTGTGATAGATAATGAACATAACTAAAGACTTCTCTTTTATTAAAAAAAAATACACTTATGTGATGTGATTACTGAAATAATGATAAAAATGAGAAAGCAATATGCTATTTAATAGATGAAAGAAGCAAACTGTACATTATAAGCACATCATTCTTAAATGATTGTATGTATGGATATTAAAAAAAGTGAAATTGGTTATAATTAATAATTTCAAAAATTAACCAAAGCACTTGTTCGTGACTACTATATGTATGCATATGTTTCATGATTGGTATGTAAAAATATTCATTTTGAAACAGATTCCTTCCTTTTTGAATTTAAATTCCGACGTTTTAAATATATGTAGATATTATATAAGTAACGCTAAATTACACAAATTAGCTGGTTAAAGGAATCGTTTCAATGATTTTGCAATACTAGAGAAACCAATGGCAAAGAGAAGTCGACAATAAATAGGGCATTTTCACTTTGCACAATGACAATGACTTTTCCCGTATTCTGCTTGTATAAGATTCCCTTAGAATGGAGACAGTGTTAGTTAAGTAACGTAATTAACTTTTATCTGAATATTATTTAAAAATATGGCGCATGCGCCAGTATTTATAAAAACCATAAAATCTAGCCATTAAGTAAATTAGATATCACTTTGTACATAGAACTAAAAGTACGAAATTCTTTCTAAAAACCAAGTCTGTTAGCGTACAGAAGAATGCAATGAACGATCAGATCTAGTCGGTGATAAAATGAATTAATGTTGCATTCCATTCTACGTCGATTGCTTTCTGTTGTCAGTCCAATCTAGCAACCTGTTCCTCGAGTTTCTTAATAAAATATATGTTAATCCTTTATGTGTGTCAAATATACGAAATACTTCCGTTTGCTTGTGACGCGTGATTAAGATTTATCACACATTGCATCCTCTTCTTAAACTCATATTTCTGGTTTTAAATCCATTCAATAAATCCTTAACGTAACATTATAAAAAATAATATAGCATTTCATTTCTAGCTCTCTTTGTCGGTATTTTGACGTTCTTTTAATTTAGAGTATTGCAAGTATTATAAATAACTTAATTGAATTTAATAAAACTATTCCTACGAAATATACATGTAAGTATTTCCGCATATCTCAAATTGTGATAGAATTAAGCACATTCTAATGTGAATAAATGACTACAAAAAGTGTGAAACTACGAAAAAATACGATTTACAAATAATTGTAAAATCTCCTCTACAATTTGACACGTTTAGTGGTTATTAAATATGAAGCTTTCATTAGACAAAAATTGAATCACTAAAAACTTATGTGGGAATTGAAATATCTTAGTTGGTCTCAGTAAAAAGTTAACAAAGTATACAGTAAATGTCTTTCACGGCAGTCAATATACAGGGTGATTCACAATTGGTGACCAAAAATGAAATCTCGTATTTTTTGGTGAATTTTAAGGGGAGTCTTTCCTATATCTATAGAACATTTTTTTAAATTGAGTAATTGAGTAATAACACATTTATATCATTGCGCAAGAAATCATTGAACATTTTTTTATCAGTTTTAGTCTAATTTGACAATAGTTCAACTGTTTTATATTCGACGTATTCTCTCAATTCAAGTTTCAAGTGTCAACAAGTGACAATTAAAAGTTGATTGAATTGTTCGATAACAACTGATTTGCCGCCATTGCGAAGAAAAAGAAGTGTGAGATGTAAGAAGAGATTATCATCTTCTCAAGCAGCAAACAGGTAAAAAAAGGTAGGGTACAAAGCTTACGTTCTCCATTCGAAAGTTTAAATGCAACTTCGAGCCTCGCCAATCCTTAATTTGTGCCGGTTCTTCAAACTGTATCACTCCTTGTTGGCACGATGGTAAGTAAAAGCTCACTATTTGTTTACGTTCTTTTTTTTTCAGTGTGGTGTTTCAGTGGTAACGCGCAGTGTTAATGAGTGAAAATTTAGTTATTTACGGTTTATGAAAAAAAAAGTGGTGGTTTTTATTTTTTGAGTATATTAAAAAAAATGTAAACAAACTTCTGCGTCGCAAACAGATAGGTTTTATTTTTTAACAAAATTATCTTGGCGGAGAAGTTTATTTGATATTTTATTATTAAAAAAGGTTGAGTATTTAAGAAATGTCACAAATAACTAAACTGTCAGACACTTGGTGGCCTTTGTGATAGAAAAAAATAGTTAGGTTTTGCCTAAAACATGATTCTGCATTTTTACGTGATTGAGATTATTAGCCAGATTTCCACTAAAAATTCCATAAAGTGATTTCCTTAAATATTCGACCTCTTGCAAGTTGTGCGTCTCAAAAAAAATTTAAAGGTGCATCTTGTACTTAGTAGAATACACTGTACATAAGACGCATATTATGATTAGTAGTTTATTTCTGCTTTTTCAAATAACCTGTTATTACTGAATAAATGAGCTTTTAATTTTATACAAACATAACAGTATGTACCTATTTTAAATGTATCTTTAGTATATTCAAAACTAAATCTATAAAGAATTCGGACTATTTTTCCATGGATGTAAATTGATGGAAAAATACATGGTAATAAAAATATGGGTGGTGTTTATAAGAATAATTTAGAAAGTGGAATACTGCTCATCAATATGAATGATATTTACTCATAAATTCATTACAATGACATATAATACGTAGAGTATGCAAATTTTTCCGTTGTTGTGAAATTTGTTTGCATGTTTTATAAAACTAAGGGTAAAAAAACTGTTTCCTTATGCATGAGATGAGTAATACAAAACTTTTACTTTTACTTTATACAAAATTATTTTTTTAACATTTATTAATTTTATTTATATCTGTTTGTAATCGGAATAATGACGATATCTTTTGAACAATTCATAAAGCAGCAACTTATAATTATTGTTGTTTAACAAGCAAACCGACAAATGTTTCAAAATAGGAAGGATTTCGCAAAGCTTCCTGTTTTTTCTTTTTTAGAAATTCACTTACGAAAATTATAACTTCCTATAAGTTTTACATAGTGTAGAAAATATACATCTGTTTATGAAGTTGTTGGTATAACACCCTGTACAAAATCCAGTTGCAAAAGTATCTTAAATTTCGAATATGTTGTACTACAGCGACATTGATATTAACAAATGCCGATGATCTAATTATAATTTATAATTGTTACATAATAAATTATTTTGCTTTCGCTCACGTGTGAATATCATATCAAATTTCTATAATTTTATATAGACAGCTTTCTTAAAATTAATATAACTGGCGTTTTTTATGAATTTAATAAAAACATATTTATTTTCTTCTCTTGCAGCTGTCAGCATAAAATGCCACATTTCTAGCCAGTTGAGTTATTAAATATAGAATTGCAAAACACTTTTTTCGAAATTATTATTCCGCAAATCACATAACTAGCTATTACTATTCTTATCTGGATTGCTATGTGATAAAATGAAATCATTTGTCAAATAAAAATGTATGAAAACATTTGCAATTTATTTGGCAAGTGATGTCATGCTTTCGAATGTATCGATATGCATCACTCACACGATACGGAATTTGTTTACGTTTGGTTTGTTTACGTTTGGTATCAAGCAATTTTAAAAAGTATATACACATTTGCCCCAAATTCAAATATTAGAATTGTCGAATTGCTCAGTGTCAGTGTTTAATTAAAGTTATAAATAAAAACTGAAATTATCTTAGTTTAAATTAAAGGATGTGTGGCAGTTTCAAGTTCCATGTACGCGAAATAGTAGGACACTCAGTATAACTTAATGCCTCTTTTATTAATAGGTACGTTTCGACAGAGATATCTCTTTTGAAATTATATAATTATTTGAGCAGTTATTTCTTTACCATAGATATACCAATAATTCATAAATTTATTTGACTTAAATTTGACTATTAAATTTTTTTATACTTGTCACATAACTCCATTTGATAAAATTCGAAAAAACTGATCTCACTTAAATTTAATTGTATTACATAAAATACTGTATACCTACTCACCTAGCAAAATTAATACCTTTTGTATCAATTTCATTCATTTTTAGAAAATAATTGATTCATATAGCCACAAAGATCTAATTATTCGAAATACCTCCTTCAGATTCTTTAGAACTTCCACGTTATTAACTACCTAATACATATTATTACAGTTTTTCAACGACGTCAAAAAATTAAGGTGTGTAAGATGATGTATTTAATAATTTCCAACAGAGAATCTGCAAGTGTTACACTTTCACTTAATACATATAACGAAAAGAAAGACCACCGCCATCCGTAAATACTGGTTTCATGTCCTTTTATATCTTATTTTATAATAACAGGAACAGTAAATGAAAGTTCCCTGATCATTATGGTCATATTGGTTTCAGTGTTGTTACAGAGGGCCTTTCCTTTTAACGATTACAATTGCATAGTGGGAGATTTATACGCTTTGTATCAAATTTTAGCACCAAAAAAACTTAATAAAATTACGGTATAGTGTTCAAGAGAATTTAGATCCTCAACCGATGAAGACTTTGACTTCAACTAACTTGCAAATGCTCCAAAATGTAAGATGACACTGACTTAGAGCACATCCTGTATAATATATTTTATAATAAAACAATTCGAATAGTTATTTAACTATTGACTATAGTACTATTTCACGCCTGATATGTATTTTTGTTATAAATAACGGGTACAAAAATATAATTAAATCTGCGAATAAGGAATATACAGGGTGTGGCGTTTTTAATGCAGAAAAAATAAAATACAGATTCCTAGGAATGTACCTAATAAAAAAGCCTTATATCAAATAGTTCTATATTCACGTTTTGTCAAGAAAATGGAACGTCAGTTTTGTAGTGAAATAATAAATCTTAGTACGGCCCTGGCAAAAAATGTTGATATTCAACAGCTCAACCGGCTGACTCTTACCGAACCAAACTAACCGAAAATCTATACTGTCAAATCTATGATCTCAACAAACAAAAAACATGTAAACTGCCGCACCATCTTTTTGACAGAACTTGACACCGACAGTCAACGTAACACAAAACCATTCGACATTAGATTGGTTAGTTATTTTATTTTTTTAGTTTAGAGACTTATAAGACCACGTGATCTCCATTCCTTAGGTGGTGGAGTTTTGTCACTGCGCATACGAAGGCTAGAGTTTTTAATGTAAACAGGACCAGCATTAACTTTTTGTAAAATATTTTTAATACTCAAATATCATAATTGTCTTATATGGCATATATCATTTCATTTCATTTACTATCGGGAATTTGTATTTAAGACGCCCCACCCTGTATTTATTCAATATTATCTATCTACTCACATTACCCTCAGCGACATCTGTTGTACTAACAACCATTGTGTAGTGTGTATTTTTCCTTATTATATTAGATCTATGGTTAGAAGAGAAAGAGATCTATAAAAGTTAACCTAGAAAATCAATAATCTAAAACCAACTCACTTTACCTTTTTTTTTTTTCAGAATATATTTATATTCTGCTTCTTACTCATAACAGTATCGGCTGGGCCGAAAGACAAAAAGACCACTTTGGAGGACATAGAACGGGACTACATTTCCAATGAAAGAAAAACAAAATTAACACCGCCTCCAAAAGTTGCCACTCCCGCGCCGTCACCCACACAATTTGGATTCGTACCCAAAAAAACCGTTGCAGACTATGCTCGACAGGAACATAGGCCAGCCTACGTTCAACCTCAGTACACCCAGCAGTATGTCCCACAACAGGCAGCTAATGATTACTCACAGTATTCTACAGCACAGCAGTACAAGTCTACCGTACCTCAGAGTTACAGCGCTGGATTACTGTATCCTACTCCACAACAGAAATATACACCACAGATTTCGAATCAGCAGGCTTACAGCTACGTAACGCAGTTGCCAAATCAATTACAAAGTTTAGAGAATGTGCAGTACATAACTGATAACAGCATTAGTGCGCCAGCGACACAGCAATATTTTACGCCGCAGTATGTTTATTTCCAACAGTATTCTTCGCCTAGTACTGCCGTACAGACCGTAGTGGAACCAAAAGGTTAGTATGTGGTATTATAGACATTTTTTCTTTTTTGAAGTTTTTTTAATTTCTATAGTCTGACAATCTGGGTGTTTCAATTTTTATCTTGAAACCTTAGGAACAAGCAGATTAATAAATAATATTAGTATAAGGTGGGTTTTCACAGTCACAAAATTTGCTATTTTAAAGTTCGATAAAGAAAAAAATCAAACCACCCTCTACATAACTACATTAAAATTATTTTAGCTGTATAACAAATATTCTGATATCAAGTTTCACCCTCAGGAGCTCTTCAGTATGTCATGTATGTACCAGCATATGTCGCGTCTACAGCTGCCGACCAGGGTCAGAATTATGAAAACGTGTATTCCGAAGATGATTCTCAAGCTTACACACCTTCATACCAAGTATCCCAATCTCCTCAATATATCACCCAACAACCGCAACCAAAACAACAGTTTCAGTATGTACAACCAAAAAACAAACTTGCGTCGACAGAGTACATCATTAAGAGAGAACCGAAAAGCCTCTTGGATTCCTATATACCTTCCATCGTGCAATTGCAGTATTACAAACAAACCCAGCAGAATTCTGTCCAAGAACCGGTTAAGGTATCGCAAACTGTAAGCGGGAAGGAATACGTTAAAAGTAGTTACAGACCCGAAGGACCGTCGGGTGCCGAAACTTCTTTAACTTACAGGTATCAGCCCAGCTCATACAGAAGTTAGATATTTTTTTTAGTCTAAGTAAGTATACATAAGTATGTTTTAAGTTGTTTTTATCGTGATTATTGTTAATATTTTTAATAATCTGCTCCTTTCGAAACTTCGTGTCTTCTGCGGCCAGTCTTCGTTTCTGTGTTTTTGTTGTGATTTTATTATTTGTACCTTTGTATATATATATTTTAATAAAATATTTGTTAAACTGGATGTAAGGGTTTCTTAATTTTAATTTTTAATTTGTTCCCCATCGTTTGTCATATGTTGCAATTTTTTCCTATTTATTATAGACCGATCGAAATAACTCTTAGAGGGAAAAAAATAGAAAATTGTTACTTGGACTTTTATAAGTGGAAATGGTAAAGGGGCTTATAATAAACGAAAAAAAAATAAATGTGTGAGCAAGGGTGGCGGAGGGTTCATTTAGGGGGTTGAAAAGTTGTGAAAAATTGTATCATTTCGATTTCTGGCGAAAATTGACGTCAAACAAAAACATATACAGAAGTTGTAGATCATGCAAAAATCTACAACTTTTGTAGAGGTCCCTTTTTAACATAATAAATTTAAAAAAAATAAATGTGAGAGCAGGGGTGGCGAAGGGTTCATTTGGAGGGTTGAAAAGTTGTGAAAAATTGTATCATTTGTATTTCTGGCGAAAGTTGAGGTCGAACAAAAAAGTATCCATTGCAAAAGTTGTAGATTGTGCAAAAATCTACAACTTTTGTAGAGGTCACTTTTTAAGAAACTTGATGAAAGTATATCTTTCTGTGTGTTAAATAACCTCAATTTTTTTTAGATAAAAAAGTCAAGAATTTTCCGATATTCATTTTTTCCGGTCTGAAACACTTTTGTTTCAAAGAAAAATTCTACTTAGAAAAATCATTGTACAGAGTTCTGCCGGTAATAATTTTTTTCGTTTTGACATACTTTTTGGTGGATTATAAAATCTGTAATCACAGTTCAAAAACATGCTCAATGCAAAAATAATAAATAATTAATTGAATGAATTTTTTAGTAATTGTTGATAATTTGTTTAAATTTAAAAAAATTGTAAAACTGATTACACCATTAAATTCTACGGAAAAAATACAAAAAAACTGTCTCATTGTTTGACCCAAAACTTTATTTTTGTACAATATTGCTATAAACATGTCGAATAAAATAAATATTTTTTTTCTTTAGAATATACCTAACAATATGGCGTTTATAAAGTTTTAAAATTCCGAGTAGTTCCAGAGATATCCGGAAAAACCCGAAATTTTGCAAAATTGTTAAATTTTTTCTGGCTATTTAAAAATGAATTTTAAAATAAATTGCATATTTACAATGCCATTTTTTTCGCTCCATACAATGGCATCAACATTTTTGCAATCCAACGTTTCGTCTTCGAGGGGCCATCATCAGGTTAATTTTTTTAAATTCTGAATTTGATATTATTGTAATCGCCTAAAAAAATTTTTAGCTTGTTTTAGCTATTATTTAAAATTTTTCCTGACTACAGCTCTGAATGCTTTCAAAATATCTATTAGATAAAGTCATAACAGTATAAAAGTCAATACCGCACAAAATATCCAACAATTTTTTTTACTACTATTAGGAATACTAATTAAAAATAATAAAACATTTCATAAATTGGTAGTAGTTTTTTATTAGGTACTTTTTAAATTTTTGATTAAAAAAAATTGATGGATTTTTTGTGCTGTATGGACTTTTATATTTTTATGACTTCCTCCGATAAATATTTTGAAAGCGTTCAGAACCGTACTCAGGAGAAATTTTAAATGATAGCTAAAAACCTTTTTAAGCGATTACAATATCATCTAATTGAGAATTGAGAATTAAACATGACTAGATTTTGTAAATGTGCAATTTATTTTTCAAATAAAGCCAGAAAAAATAAAACGATTTTGCAAAATTTTGGATTTTTGGGTTTCGAGTCAACAGTAAACTTTGTATTGCTGAAATCTCAATTCGACTTAGATGTTTACAGCAATACTGTACAAAAATTAAATTTTGGGTCGAACAATGAGACTTGATTTGTATTTTTTCCGTAGAATTGAATGGTGTAATCAGTTTTTGAATTTTTTTTAATTTAAACAAATTATCAACAATTACTGAAAAATTCATTGTTGCAAGTAATTTTTTATTTTTTTTTGCATTTTTGAGCATGTTTTTGAACTGTGATTACATATTTTTTTATTTCACCAATGAGTATATGTCGAAACGAAAATAATGATCACTAGCAGAACTCTGTACGATGATTTTTCTAAGTAGAATTTTTCTTTAAAAAAAAAGTGTTTCAGACCGAAAAAAATGAATATCTCGGAAAATTCTTGACCTTTTTATCTAAAAAAAATTGAGGCTATTCACCAAGTTTCGTCAAAATTAAATTATTTTTGAGGGAATCAGGAAGAAACCTGTTTTTCGCATTTTTCTTGTAAATTTTGAGGTTATCTTAAAAAGTGACCTCTACAAAAGTTATGCGTTAGCCCTTAGGTCATATTCACTCGGTCATTAAAAAATGTTTTAAAATTTGACACCCTGTATATTAAAAAGAAACTTCCACTAAGCTGTGTCTCATTCTTAATGGAACGCCTTCTATAACAAAATTATTACGAGATTGGGTTTGAAATTACGATACTTTTGCAGAATTTTATAAAACGCTATTTTATTAAATAATTTGTTTACCCATCGGTGGTAAGTAAATAAAAAAATATATAATATTTTTTAACATCTACTTAAAGACAATCAGTTTCGTAGGCACAACCTGTAAAGTGAATAAAATTTATTATAAAACACAAGTCAACAATATAATTAAAATCGATTACCCTAATAAAACAGGGACATATTCTTCATATAAAATAAGTAATTGTAATACATTGAAACCTACCTAAACTGCTCATAAAAGTAAATTACTTATTAAGTTAATTTGATATTGTCAACTTCTTTATTTTGATTTAGTAAAAAAAAATGGTACAATCAAAGTACTGGGAACGAAAACGGTTTCTGACATCAAACAAAATAATTATTGATTTGGAATCAACTGTGAGAATTAGACTGCAAAGTGCAGTGAAGTGTGACTTTATTAATGGAATAATAAAAACAAAAATAGTATGAACGTGTGTCTTTTATTCCGCCAGTATATGAACCGCATCAATATTTAGTACTATATCTATAAATACAAACTCAATAAAATTGTCATCACTCTTTTTGTCGTCAAGTAACGTCGACACAAAGTTTCGATTCAACATAAATGTTTGTTAACCGAAATAAACACGTGTTTACGATTCAGATAAAATTATAAATCATACCGAAATCTCTTTCCAACGAATTTGTTACTGTGATAAAAACTTTATTATTACTAAGGAACAATCATCTTAAAATTTAAGTATACATTTATTAAATAAATTTTAATTTATTCGAGATATGTTATTTTGAACTATGTAAGATGGTTTCAACTGCAATTAGTCTCTTAATAAAACTTGAAAATACTAATAAATCTTACTTGGTGCTAGTCTGGAATACAATTATCGTACACTGTTCCCATGCGCTGTAATACTGCAAAAAACCGAACTGCTAAAAATGCCCCATCTAATAACTTTTTGGCAATTTCTAATTGATGTTAGAAACATTTAAAACATTCGTAAACTAAGGCTTTTATGAGCAGCTTATTAGAGAAAAATATCTTAAGTTACACTTGCATACTGTAAGATTTAAACACTGCCTTAGGAGAGTTAGCACCAGTAATTCTTAACCAAGACTTGGAAGGGGTACTTGTTCTTGGCGAGTCGACACAATAAGATGAACTCGTAGTTCTATTTGGATGAGGAGATTTGGCTTTAGTTATATCTTTTAAACATGCCCAACTGCAAGAAATATCGAATCAAATTACAAACACGATCCATGATAGTGCAGAAAAGTATTCCTACCTTTCCCGTTCCGATATCGGGTATAAACTAATATTGTGATGCCATTTATATACAGTCGGGTACTTGTCTTTGTCTAACACACATTCTGAGTAACTAAGGGCATTATATACATCGCAGTCGAGTTTGGTCGGGCAATCCCTAAAATAAGTACGGTTGAAACGTAATTGGTATTTTTTTTATTAAAATATTGGCTGGAGAAAGGTTCGACTTTGTTAGTGTTTCGAAAATGAAAATTTTTAAATTAACTTTAATATTTTACATTATACAGGGTGACTTATTTGAATAAGGCAACAATAAAAAATATGAAACGGACACTTGTTCATTATATTTGAGAAATAGTTTGCCAAAAACATATTGCGGTGGAGGACTCATAATATATTAAAATATTGTAAAATCACTCTTGGGTTTAGTAAACGTCTACAGAGAAATGTATTCTTCAGGAGTAAAAGTTGCCAATGTTACACGTTTGCATCACAAATTTATCTAACACTAGAGCTTACATAACACACTCCTAATTGCAAGCCAGGTCAATAAATTAAATTAATTACAAAAAAAAATGGAAGAATGGGAAATAAGAGCACAAAAAAAAAGGAATTAATGACCATGAATTTCTCTGAAATTTTGCTGGTTGTTTTTTTCATGATACACTAACCAACCTACTCTTAAAATATTGCCGGGTTCTATAAATCACACTGTATTTTAAAAATGTCCTACATCAATACTACTAAAAATTTTAATGCGATAATAGTTGAGAAAATTATTTGATATATTTTTACCACTTGTGGGAGTATAGTTTATGTCGATGATAAGAACTTTATTTTTGACTTTAACGATTAACATTGCAACACTTTAATCCATAACGAAATAAAATATTTCTATTATAACTATCGTTACCTCTAAATTAAATACGTGTATACATTCATGCATCATTACTTGACAAAATTTAGACATAACTTACCCCTCTATAAATATTTCATATTTTGGTAATTCGGAATCATTAAATTCATCATCGGACTCTTCGCTTTCTAACAAACTAGGACTAGAAGGAGGCGTATAAAATTGATCTGCATCGTCAGAATCTTCAGGTTCAACCTGCTTCATAGGAATGCTTATCCCATTTTTACCTACAATTTGGATATTGTCAGATGATCACTGTCTCAGACTTTCAAATGTAACATTTTATTTTACAAATTTGTCGATTTAAAGAATTAAAAATTTGGACTTTTTAAATAATTAATAAAATCTTACCAAACTTTCCCAAAATGTGAGTTTTTATATCCTTAAGAGATGTGCAAAAGATGGGCTCGATCGATCAAATAGTTTTTGCAAAAAAAGGCCCATTTTCAAATGACTATTACGGGGGTAGGGTTATGACTAAAACATTCTTTTTGGGCTCATTTTCTTCGAAGGGACACCAAGTATTCTCTAGTTAAAAGAAATTAATTTTTTTTTCAAATTTAGTTGTATATATTGTTAACAAATAAAAGGCACTTTCCCTAAGAAACAAATAAAATAACTCCGCGGTTTTTAACTTTTGAAAGAAGTTATATACACCATTCGAAAGCTCGTAAAAAACCTGCAAATTGAAAAAAAAAAGTTTCTACGACCAATAGGTCCGGAGTTAGCAATTTTTTTACAACTAAATTTGAAAGAAAAATTATTTTATTTTAACTAGATGATAAAGGTGTCCCTTCGAAGATAATGAGCCCAAAAAGAATGTTTTAGTCATAACCCAGCCCTGGAAATAGTCATTTGAAAATTTTTTTTTGCAAAAAAAGGATAAATAAATGGAATTTTGCAAAAACTATTTGACCGATCGAGCCTATCTTTCGCATATTTCTTAAGGATATAAAAACTCATATTTTGGGAAAGTTTGGTAGATTTTATTAATTAATTAAAAAGTTATTAACAATTAAAGAAAAAGCACTTCTTTCGCTTAATTTTGCAATAAATTTTTTGTTTATAAAGCGATTTTAACTTATAAGTCTCATTTTAAAGATGAGTTTCTCTAGAACAAAGATTAACATTTTTTTTTTACAATAACGCGTAGAACGAAAAATGACGAATTTTTGACCTATTGGTTGATAAAAAACAATGACACTATACTTTTTTCATGACCCACGAGATGAGACGCCTCTTGTATTATCATTCCCAAGACTTTCCAACAATAAAATCACGCCTAGTAATTTTCACGATTTCTCGATGATTTTTCACCTTTATTTCTTGGTCTAATTTGCAAACTCTCAAGTGGTTAAGTTAGGTTAAATAAGGTTAGGTGAGATTATATCTGGTTCAGTTTATAGGTTAATATGTTAATAAGTTTAAATCTATACTAAATATTTTTAATTTCACCTCATCTTTAAGTTTCTTGTTTATTTCATATACGTACCATGCTCCTCATCCTCGTCATCGAAACATAATTTCCTTGGTATGCCCTCCACATCATTTCTGCCAAATAAGTTGTTTTTGAAACTGCTGCTCCGAGACAGATTATTCTTTTTCGACCGTCTGTGGTAAACGCAAGTACAAGCCTCTGCAATCTCCCAGTCCTTGATACAGTCATCGTCTATTCCGATTTGCCTAATTTCATAGCTTTGGCACAACACATTTAAAATGTGGTGTATCAAACAGATCAACTGTTTTTTATAAATGGTCGGTTTACGATTTTCAGAGATTTCTTTCAAACTATGGCCCTCATCGTCCGAGGAGAAACAGTCCACGCTTTTCGTAAGATTGTCTAGAATATTTTCAATTTTGCCGCAGAGGAATACCCGCACTTCCTCTTTTATGTTATTATAGAGTTTCTGGCCGATGAGAGTACCTAAACGTGAATGAATTTTTTGGAAATTTATGGAAGAGAATCGGTTGTCATCCATGTAGCTAGTTATCAGCAACTCTAACTGTCTCATTTCCGTCTCAAGCACTTGGATAATATTCTCTTCACTACACAAAATGTACAGAATGTCATTTGAAATACGGTTCGCAAACACTTGACATGCCTTGTCTATATAAATTATTGAATCCCGATTGGAATCGCTGTTTAAGTCTAGGTTCGGCGATCGTTGAGAGTCATTCAAACGACATGCTGAAAATGCAATACACAAATTGGAAATCGGACTAAGTGGGTCAGACTTACTTAATTCTGGAGAATCATTTTTTATATACTCCATATACGATTTCGAAAGAGCAACATCATGATTTGATAAGAAATCCTCTAAAAGTCTTAAACCCTCGTCAGAGGCAATATCAACAAAGCTGTCCAAAAACGGCCAGTATTCTTTCCAATTGACTTCATACTTGTTCGCCAACTTTTTGCCAATTCTCTCTAAACCTTTCTCAAGATCTTTGAAACGAAGAGAAGATACACTATGTAAGTCGTTCAGTTTCCTAGAATTGGAAGAACTAGAATTCAAGGATCTAGGGGGAGTTTTCCAGACTCTCCTAAACTCCTGGGCCCCTTTTTTATTCATAGGACCCGCATACGCATGTATTTCTAATCTCGAACTTAATGGATTTATATTTAATACCTAAATAAGAACATAGTCGCATAATTACATTTTTTACGAATCAAATTTAATTACTTACTGGAGGGCTAGTAGGAGAAAAAGGTTCACCAATCGTCGGTGGCAAACTGTTATCCTCTACTCGTAAAACGGGTACATAGTAGCTGTCTTGTAATAGCAGTTCAATTTTTTTCCTTACTCCAGACAAGTTATCACCTTCTGCTCTTTCGCATATTATCTGGAAATCAATTGACAGTAACTACACGTTTCTTATAATGTTCTGTGAATTTTACCTGCTGTGCGGTTTTTTGAAACTTATTTTTTAAAGTTTTATCACATTGTGGATAGGAAACTAAAATCTCTAGGACATCAACTGCTCCATATTTTGACGCAAAATGTAAAGGTGTTTCATTTAAACCTTTGTTGGGTGTGTTCAAATATAAATCTAACAAAATAGCAGTTCTAGCTTCCGCATTTTGTTGATTGTCGTCACCATATAAAAGTTTTATGAAATCCGTGTTTGACACTGTAGTTAATATCAATTCTGTTATTTCGGCATTTTTTGCTTTAGCAGCAACGTGTAATGCATTGTAACGTGGTCCTTCCTACATAACACAACGACATATTATCTTAATATTGATTTTTTATTAAACGAGTAATACAAATAAAAAAGCTTTTGTTACCTAGTTTAAGCACATGCACAATCTCTTGATTTCATAAGTACCAGTACTTAAGTAAATATTTTAATAAACATGAGCACATGAAAGTTGCACAAACATTTCATAAACTAAACAATTTATCATTGTTCTCCGGTATACATGAATGTCTGTGTCTGTAAATAACTGTGAACGTTCGAGTTATATGAAAACTGTACATACAAAGTGCAACAAGTGTTTTTGATGTCTTACATTTTATTTTTATTTTAAAGTGATACTGCTGTAAAATCTTATTATTAATAAATTAATTCATACTTATTATCTACTGTCAGTTTTATTTTAAACACAGTTTCATTGAACTGTCTCCAATTCATAAATCAATAAATTAAAATATTATGTTGTAATAAGTACTGTAACTTATACAATCAACAGTAATAAAAATCTAAACCAATGTGAATAAGAAACAATAGTACCTAAATTTAAACATTTACCTGTAAAATGGATGGTGTATCACCACTGCTGACTAAATAACGTGGATTTTGCCAAATTGTGTCCATCACAACCTTATAATGTCCACCCTCAATAGCCTTTCTCAGTTCAACGAGTTCCTGTGGTTTGGGACCTTTAAATGGACTTGCTTTTTCACCAATGGATTGAGCAGAATCCAGCTGTATCTTTGGAAGTAAGTGACCTGTTACTGTGGTATTATTATTAGGGAATTCAGACCCATTAAGTGCAAATTCTACAGCTTCATGGTAAAACTGAAATGCCTTAAATCTCGACTTCTTATTTTTCTTAGCTACCTTTAATGCCTCAAATTTATCTTCGAAAACATTAGGAGATGTGGGAAGAAAGTCTTTATTATCGTTAGGGGTGTATAATCCATAATATAGAGTACCAGAACTAGAAGTTTCTTTTAAATTATTTAAGTTATTAGATGTGGGAGAATCCATTTGATATTACACAAACTATAAATCTAGAAAAAAACATTTAAATGTTGCAAAATGAAGTGTATTGTTGAACAGTACTTACCAGAGAATTTAATCAAATATACATAAAACGATAAAGTTTATAGTGTAGCTAAATAGGAAATAAGGTCAACATATCAACATAATTAAAACTTATCATTTTATTAACATGTCCAGTTAATATACGCTCTTATTGCTTCTGTTCACGGACACTACGAAAACACAAAATAGATATTTTTATATCGGATACAGAATGATACAGTGCACTCCATTCCACAACACTCCACACAACAAAAATAATATAATAAACATCAGCTTATGTTGGTACATATTATTCAGTAGATGGTAGGCATGGTAAGTGTAAGAAGAAGGAGAAGTACTGCTGTTTTTCCATCATGTGTCTATCACGTTTAAATTTCGATATTGTTATTAAAAATAAAAAATAACCCCGCGACATTTCTATACTTTCATTCCATGCTATTTTTCATTTCTTTTTTTTTGTGTGTAACTGAATGTCTGTGTTTGAAAAATTATTTGAGAGGGAGATAAAGATAAGATAAAAACGAAAAGCCTTTTGGCCCAAATGTCCACGGAAGAAAGTCATAAAATAAAGAAGAAGAAGTAATTGTCAAATGTAAATGTCAAATCTGTCACTGTCATTGCGCTTGGCAGTATATTTGTCACTTTGCCAGTCAATTTGTGTTTATTGAATTGAAACGAAACAATTAATAAATAGTTAATAATCGGCTACTTTTCACATCTATTTAAATAAGTTCGGGGAATTAAGTTATTTGCAATGGAAATAATTAAAACGCCAAAGGTAATTTTGATAAATAGTGTTTGCTTCAGTTTTTTTATAAGGGTGGGTAAGAACCAGAAAAAATTGCTTTTTATATTTTTTTTTTAGGTTGAAAATGTTCGTATGTTGGATAGGTACTCAAAAACACCATCTCAGGGGACACTGTATCTTACTGCAACACATTTAATTTTCGTTGATCCTGATGCCAAGAAGGAGACTTGGGTAATATTTTTGCATACCATATTGTGAATTGCCATTTTTATATAAAATTAATATTGATTAAAGATTTCTAATACGGTAAAATTAATATCACTACTTAATTTGGCATATTACTTAACTTTTCTAAGATGGACAAATGATGTTTTCACTTCTTTTATTATTCAATGTTCAAGGAAAAAGTCATAGCGTTTAAAGTATTTGAATTATTATCATTGTACTATTTCATTCCTGTAAAACAATTTCATTTCATTTTAGGTACTGCACATGCACATAGCGAGTTTAGAAAAACTACCACTAACAACAACAGGATCTCCGCTTTTGATAAGGACTAAAACATTTTTATCTGTCACTTTTGTGATACCTAAAGAACGAGATTGTCACGATGTGTATATAAGTTTGCAACAACTATCACAACCAAGCAATGTCCGAGATCTGTACTGTTTCTCCTACACCCCTCCAGCCGAAGAGTTGCAAAGGGGTGCTGGGTGGAACTTTTACGATTTGCAGTCTGAGTATCACCGGATGGGGGCACCAAACGACCAGTGGTGTCTGACAACTTTAAACAAAGATTATGAGGTAATCTAATAATAGTGAAGAAACAGTAAAATAGTGAAGTAGGTATATGTTAAATACTTGCTTTTTTTAGTTATGCGATACATATCCAAAATATCTATATGTTCCAAGTTCTGCAAACACAACGACCCTTATAGGCAGTTCACGGTTCCGTTCTAAGGGAAGGTTGCCAGTACTTTCGTATTTATACAAAAATAAGGCGAGCATCAGTCGTTGCAGCCAACCTCTCTCAGGTTTTAGCGCTAGATGTGTAGAAGACGAAAAAATGCTGAATCACGTTTTGAGAACCAATCCTAACGCAACGTTTATGTACGTTGTTGACACTAGACCAAAGGTAATTATTTCTTTAAAGCTGATGTTCTTATTTGTTAATTATTTCAAAATATATTACTTTCAACTATTATTTTGATTTAGGTGTATAGTTTGCTTGTAGTTTCCTGTTTTAGAATTACGGAATGCATTATTTCCGCCTACACTTCTTTAGTAGTTATAATCACTGATCCATATAATTAACCTTGGAAATTGTATACCTATCAAAGCGTACAACCATTGTGTTTATTTCACAGTCCATTGTGAATCATTTTTAGATAAATGCTATGGCAAATAGAGCAGCCGGGAAAGGATACGAAAATGAAGCTTTTTATGAGAACATTAAATTCCACTTTCTGGGGGTTGAAAACATACACGTGATGCGTAACAGCCTTATAAAAATTGTTGAAAGTGAGTTACAAATAATTTAATTTCTGAAACGGCGCAAAACAATTTTTAGAAAATATCTTCTCAATTTGCTTGTTTTATTACAGCTTGTGAGCAAAGGAACCCAACAATGAACAGTTTTTTGAGCGGTTTGGAATCTAGCGGCTGGCTGAAACACATTAAATCGATTTTAGACACCTCCCAGTTTATAGCCGAAGCTATAGTGGAGGGTATAAACGTGGTGGTACACTGTTCTGATGGTTGGGACAGAACTGCTCAAGTTTGTTCTTTATCGTCTATACTCTTAGATCCCTTTTACAGAACAATTTCAGGATACCAGGTAAAATATTTTAATTTTTTATGTGAATATATCCATATATTTTTCTGCAAATGCGACAGAAACCTGTGTCGCAGGTCATCGACACTGAGATTCATGAACTAAACACAGTGTTCTAAAAAATATAAATAGTTTTTATTAGACCTGAAATAGTTTGGGTTGGAAACTTTTTATTGTCAATTGCTGTACAGGACGTTTGCTTTAATAGGACCTCATAAAGTAAAAGTAGTTCAAATGTATCATAGTTTTTTTATTATATTTTAGACGTTAATTGAAAAAGACTGGTTAGCATTTGGCCACAAGTTCTCAGAGCGCTGCGGTCACATACAAACGGATAGCAAAGAAATATCGCCCATATTCACCCAGCTCTTGGACGCCACATGGCAACTGATGCAGCAGTTTCCTCTGTCTTTTCAATTCAACGAAATGTTTCTGTTTACGATACATGACCACATACATTCCTGCCAGTTCGGCACTTTTGTTGGAAACTGTGAGAAGGACAGATCTGATTTGAGGTAGTTTCCATTGAAATAACCACAGATTTTATTTAATTCTTTTCAATTTTAATAGATTGTCTGAAACGACCTATTCTCTGTGGGGGTACATGGCGAACCATTTAAATGAGTACTTAAACCCCTTGTATAGCCCCGACGAGCCGCCTGAAGTGTTGGTTCCAAATTTAATACCTCAAAATATACGGTAAATTTTGCGTTTATTTTTTATGTGAACTACTCTTATCTGTTTTTATATTTAGATTTTGGCGAGGCATGTACTGCAGATTTGAGAATGGAGTACACCCAAGGGAACCCCAGGACCAAATGCTTTTGGCGGCTTCTGACCACATATTCTCCCTGGACGAACATGTGAAATATCTGACTAAGGTAATTATTCACTTTTCTCAAATTTTATTGAATTTTAGTGCAAAATAAACATGTTTTAAATTTGTCACATTACAAATTAATCTTTATTGACAAAATATTTGCATTTCCAGCATATTTTTAGTCATTTAGGTAACTTTACAATTTCAGAGAATATCATCAGTAAAGTCGCTTTTGTCGAGGACAGTCGACAAAAAAAAGAGCAAACCCAAAAAGGAACAGCTCTGCAACAACGTGTTTCTAGACAATAAATTGCAGTATGAAAAGGGCACTAGTAAGGATTCAAGAGAATCCCAATCCTCCAATCATTCTTTAAATCTACAACAAGGAAGTAGGTCCAAAGATGTCGACGAGGCTGAAGAAGAGTCGATAGATGTGGAAGAAATAAAAAAAGAACTGGAATCGGTGGCGTTGGATTGGAAACCGTTGCGAGAGGCCACAGAGTGTAGTTGTTCGTTAACGTTCGATCAATCCAGCAAAAAGGTAAAAATATGTAGCGTAATAAAAACTCGTATTTATAAGAATTGTTTCTGAAAGTAGCAGCAGCTAATGAGCATATTTCTTGATTCCAGAGTCATTGCAGAAGATGCGGCGATATATTCTGCCAGAGATGCATATCTAAAAAGATCGCGTTACCCGGACACGTTTCTAAGACACCAGTACCTGTGTGCAAGCTGTGTTTCGATATATTAGCCAATTCTGTTGAATAGTCAAATAAAAGTAGCCGTGTTAAATTTGTCATTGTCATTAATTCTGCACGACTTATGCGTATTTTTTTATTAGAAAGAGTGTAACTACGGCTGGACGCAGCTTGGATATAATAACCCAAAACTATAGTTAATATTATTATTTATTTAAGAGTATTCTTTTCTATTTTTACTTAGGGACCTTCGTATCGAAAGTTATCTGTATTACTTTGTTGCTACGCAACAGTAGTAGAATACATGCTGAAACTGTGTCACAACTTATATTTATGTTGTAAATATTTTATTATTTTTGTTATTTCAACTTTGTTGTATATACTGGCCCACCAATGAAAATAAAATGTACACATTCCAACTCGTTCTCTTTATTTACATACAAAAAATGGATATCTAAACCTTATAGTCATATTTTCGTTCTTTATTAAAAAATTTTCAAAATTTTAAATACTATACTCTTTTGTACAATTTTTATTAATAATTCATTTTATACACTATTTCTTAGATTTAGATGGCCCCCCTAGGTCATCTAGTTGTTGCTTAAGTGCATTAAGTTCACTATCGGGTACATATCGAGTTTCTTCATCCTCTTCTTGATGTGGTCGGACCTTTGCACTTACCCCAGCTGGTAAACTTGCTTCTATGGCCCTTAGAATTACTGGAAGCTTTGTAGAAGAGAAAAGTTATATAAGCACCTAATTAAATTTATGTAGAAATATACTTTAATTTTAAATGAAAATCAATTGTAATTATTTACCTGTGTTACTGAAACATCTGTAATTTGAACAAATCTATTGTACACTTTGAGATTATACTGGGCATTAATAATTGCACTATTAGTTTTATAAGTAGAGACTTGCATATGTTGTGCGGGTAAAGGCCAACAATCTTCAACATTAATGTCCATATTTTTTAAAATATTGTGAAGAAACTTTTGATAACTCTCTACCACGGGATAGTCGTAACCATTAATTTCTATATTTAAAGTGTCGTACAAAGGTACCTTCGGTTTTAACCCCTAAAAGGAATATTTTTATAACATATATTATAGTAATTCCATTATATTTTAAATAAATAGTAGATAATATTTATAAATCAAATCAGCTAGACCACAAAATCTATCCTATTAAAGTTGGGTATTATTGTACACCACCTCTAAATAATCGGGTTCATATAAGCTGCCACTGATACATCGTTTTGATTGTGAATGTGCTTTCAGACATGTAGGCCTAAAAAGAAATTTTCTTATTATATTCATATTTTATTTTTGTTATAATCAACGAAATTGAGGTTAAATTAAAACTGTTTCTTCTTCTTCTTCTTCAATATCAATACCACACGTCATACAATTCCGCTTACATGGTGCAACTTTTTACTAATATGTGTTCTATGAAAAATAGGGAATGTGTAGGAATCAAAAATAGGGAGTTTTTGCATATCGGTTTTAAGAATACCGTAAACGATAAAGTCACGTGAGAGGACATTGCGCATGTGCAACAGTTACCTTTGGCGTTTATCGTTACGGTATTCCGATATCCAACCCAGATTACGGTATTAGTTTACCGTGCATTTAGGATAGTAGTTTTGTGTACGATTAATATAATCCATCCATTTTTCTTTCACTTGCCGACTGCCTTTTTCCGCAAAAGTGTCAAATGAAAGCATAACCGTCAGAATTGAGGTTAGGACACGCTTTACCATTGCGGATAAACGACACGATATGCAAAAACTGGAAGCATTCAGTACACGCTATTTGTCAATACGGTATTCAGTCACGTGTTTTTAACGTTTATCGTATTCGTAAATACCTTATGCAAAAACTCCCTAATATTACCAAGTTAATTCTAAATTTCATATCCGACATGAAACATAGTAGGTATATGGGTAAAATTATTTTCTTTAAGAACGTTAGTAAAAAGGTTACATTATTTAGTCACACGTTATATTACTATTTTGTTAAATTTTTTAAATAATTCAATTTCAACTATACACAAATATGATGTTGCTTCAACTTACTGCTTTTAAAATAATAAAAAACTAATTACAGTGACTGCAAAACTATTTATAGGAAATTTAGTAATTATAATACATTAACATGTTCATCGATTGGAGCCTGATGTAAGCAAATTTAAAAGAGCTGCTTTTTCCTTCTCCTTTTTCTTTACGATATCTATGCATCTATTCCTCCATGTACTTTTCCTTAACTTAATTGGTCTGCTTCCAACATACCGACCTAAAATGTAAGTAAAATACATTTATTTACATAAACAAATTTAAATAATTGGGATTACCATTCATCTCCTTCATCGCTTTTGTAAAATCCGCTGGATCTTTAAAACTCACAAATCCATATCCTTTGCTCTTGTTCGTGCGCTTATCTCTTATAACTTTGGCTCTTTGAAAAGACGGGAATTTATTAAAAGTTCTCGTAAGTAATTCGTCAGTCACATCATTACCTAAATCCCCACAAAATATTCTAAAATCATCATCCTGCCAGTCTGCCAATGAAGAATCTTCCCAGGTCTGACCTCCGGCTGTCCGCATTAACTTCCTATTTTTACTTCCTTTTCGCTTGTAATCTTCAGGTCCAAAAGACTGTAAAGCACTACTGGCCTTACCTAGAAAGAAATAAGTATATTTCATAAAGAAATAAAGGCAAAAACAACGTACATACCTTGTGAAATTGCTAGTTCTGCACTTACTTTTTCATTTTTTAATTTTTTCAACTTCTTCTCTACTTCTGACTGAAGTGCTATGAAATCAACGGACGATTGGGTATTGGAAGCCTGTGTTGTGCTTATTTTTGGTGGTGCATATAAAGTAGGTTTTGCCGAGACAACTGCTGGTTGAGCAGTAATAACAGGTTGGGATGAATAAACATTGTCATATCTTTTGGCTGATCTACTAATTTGATGAGGAATCAACACGGGGGGTGTTGGGGGTGGAGGAATGTTTCCAAATCCTGGTAGTGTAAACGCAGAACCAAAACCATTTACTATGGACTGTTGCCCAGATATTTCAGCTTCAAATCTATAACATAATACCACAATTATTTATATGTACACACAGCTGCTAAAAACTTATTACTGGTATGCAGATAAACAAATACATAAATACGAGTTGTTACCTGGTCATTTCATCCTCCATCATCCTAAATTTGCTTTTATCCATGTTTTATGTTTTGTTATAAACTTTATAAATATAATCTTTTAGCAGAATATATACTGCTCTAGAAAATGTCAATAAATTAATCAACAAATCTCTTCATAACACTGACTCAAACATTGAATTAAAATAACAGAACCATTTATCTAGGAACAGAACATCATAGGCTTCTAACAATCTAATTTGACGACTATTGGACGAATTCGATTTTCGATTATATGTTTTGTGATTTCGATTATAATAATGACTACATTCAGCCGACAAAATCAATGACTTGAGCCGTGTTCTTTTATTCATTATTTCGATGCGATGACGATGAATTATGTACAGCCAGTCAGAAATTAGGATTGTTTAAACAAATCAATAATATTATTTGGATGGAATATAATGCATCAAAATGATGAAATACGGCCTAACCTACAGATCTATGGTCCTAATCCATCGATTATCGATTCTGTCAGCTGAATGTAGCCAATATCAAGGAGAAACATCAATATCGAGTACATCGGAATTTAATCCTATCTCAGAACTCACAATCTCTAAACAAAAAATTGTTATTTGAATGAAAGAATTAAAATTGCCTTAAATAAATATTTCAATGTAAATTTTTGTTCTAATGCAAAGAATATTGAAATCGACAATCGAAACTTTTGTTACCCAATGGAATACTTCGATATGTAAGGGATGGCGATGTCACTTATTAAGCAGAGATAGAGCTATACGAACTGTGTATTCTAAACAAAAATAGAAAATATTGTCTGTATTTTAACGTGCATTTTACTTTTCCGTTTCCTTTTTATCTGTGTGAAAAGAGAAGGTATGTTTCTTTTATGAAATTTATTTTACTTTTCTTTAATAAAGTTTGAGTTAACAATTCTTGAGCAAAATTGTGTAAATAAAGCATTATGTGTAGGAAACCAAGAGATTTTCGTGTTCTTAAATACCTATATTGCAAACCATGCGTTAACCTAACCTAATTGTCTCAAATTTTTGTTGTAGGTCTGAAAAATGACAAACTCAAAGGGTTATCGTAGAGGAACGAGAGACTTGTTCTCAAGAAAGTTCAAAAAGCATGGCGTTATTCCTCTATCCACTTATATGAAAGTATACAAAGTTGGAGACATCGTTGATATTAAGGGAAACGGTGCCGTGCAGAAGGGCATGCCTTACAAAGTCTATCACGGAAAAACCGGACGTGTTTTCAACGTAACCGCACACGCACTGGGAGTTATTGTGAACAAGAGGGTCCGAGGAAGAGTTATTCCAAAAAGGATAAACATTCGTATTGAACACGTCACTCATTCAAAGTGTAGGGAAGACTTCTTGCAACGTGTCAAGTCCAATGAAAAACTTCGTAAAGAAGCTAAAGAGAAGAGTGTCAGGGTAGAACTTAAGAGACAACCAGCTCAACCAAGGCCAGCCCACATTGTCAACGGAAAGGTACCGGCAGTTCAACTTGCGCCTATACCATATGAATTTATCGCTTAATTTTATAAAAATTAATAATAAATTGTCTTTTTTGTGAAAAGTGTGTTATGTATTTATTTTATTATCCCATTTCCTTTTCAATTTCCGTAAATCGTAGAAACGAGTCAATGCAAAGTGATGTGTTCTCACAATTAAAATTTTTCTCAACAAATTGTCCCTAGGACATCTTGCTGACTAGTTTTTTCTCCCCAAATTATCGAAAGTGGCCAATACGCACTTTAAAGGAAACTACTTCACAGTTCGATAGGGAAAGGTGACAAATAAAATGCTAATAAAATAATTATTTTAATTTATTATAACTAACGATAATATTTACAGAACAAAAATAAAATCTGCTTAGCAGTATTTTCGATATTAATGCACTAGTTATTTTTGACATTATTTAGGAAAACAATTTACATTCTGAAAAGTAGTAAGAGGGAAAAGTGAATTTTACTTCTTTGCAGAATTATCAAAAACATAACAGACAAACTGAAAAAATACCATTCTGCAGTAATAAACTTAAAAATCGTTTACGTTTTTTTGTATGACTGGCACAGGCTTGCCATTTCTATCTACACCACAGTAGATGAGAATACAATTTCTAAAAAATGTGGTCCATTTCTATGTAATGATTTTTTTAATCATAAAACATGTATACTGAAATAAAAAATTAGCTTTTTATATTTTCAAAATTGTATTTACCGTTTTTTTACACAGTTTTGGCATTTTTTAAATGACTATTATGTCTCCTCTATTCTTTGAGGCACTCAATATGATATTTCTAATTAAGAGATTGTTATTTTTACTGCAAAAGTGGTCCATCACAAAGGACTGTTGCAACCAAGACGTACATACTCAGTCATTTATTATTATCTCTAATTATTATTGCTAATTTCTTAAAAGTAAAATTTAATATGGCAAAAGTGACAAATTAATGATATGTAAAAAACGTAAAAACAAGTAAAATTCACCCCCAAGAGAAAAAATCTCTTATGTTCTTGTTCAACAGCAGCAATAAGATTGTAAGTAATCTACAAGAATGTCTTTTATTCGACGCTGCCTTATACGGTCTAGATTTTGCACTAGAGATGTCGCTACTGCTGAATCACTGGAGCACTTGATTACTCAAAATTAAATGAGGAAACACGTGATTGACTGAAAAACCACTTGCCTGTTTATTAAAAATTTCGGGCATTGTTTAAACATTCGACATTGTGTTTAAAAAATAATAATAAACAAGTGTAACAACTATCGCCTTATACTGGAAATGAAACGAACATAATTTAGCCGACAAGGTGTCTGCAAATTTCTATTCCACTAGGCAAGTTAGTTTCTTCATATTTTAGTTTAAATGATTTTTATTTTAACACATTTTAACTTACGTTACTTTTTAATAATTTCCCTAACCTTTGGTCATTTAGGTATTAAACTTCTGCTAAAGTACTACTAAAATAAAATACTAGGCGAAGTATATAAATTTTCCATAAATAAAATATTACTCTAGACGTGACTAGAGATTCAGTTTTGGACCACAAAGAGAACTTTGTACGAATTTGCAGAGTTACCGCAAAAATCGCCCGTTTTTTCACAATTCACAGAGAAAGAAAATAGATAAAAATGTTTCTTGTCTCAAATTACTTGTCATAAAAAATTAAGATGAGCATAGCTTTTAGTTTTTTAAAAATTTTCAAAAATCACCCCTATTTAGGGGTTGAAAAGACGCCAAAAATGAAGAATTGAATATTACCAATAAATATAAAAACTATTACATGTGAATTTTTCTATCGAATGATTCTTGATAGAAAGAAAGATTTATTCTCATGACTGAAATAAGCATGTTGAATTAGAAAATCCACCCTTGCTCAGGGGGCGGAATCATTCCCAAAAATAGAGAATATCAGAAATAATTGTAAAAACTCCAAGAAAAATATATTAAGATAATTCACATGCTAATAGTTTTTATATCAATTGGTAACATTCAAATTCTTCATTTTTGGCATTTTTTTCAACCCCTAAGTAGGGGTGATTTTTAAAATTTTCAAAATACTAAAAGCTATGCTCATTTCAGTTTTTACGACAAGTAATTTGCGACCAAAAACACTTTTATGTATTTTATTAATTCTCTGCGAATTGTGAAAAAATGGGCAAAAATCACAGGTTTTTGTGTTGCCCGATGAAATGTGTCAGGTAAAAATCAGATCGTACATCAAGGATAGCTGCCTCAGGTGAAAAAAAAAAAAGAAAAAAAACATTAAGATCAAGTGGCCTTAGCAAAATTTTTGCTTCCTTGAAACGTTACAAACCTAACATCTTAATTTTTGACTTATTTTGATACAGCTTCGTAGCAAGGAGTTTTTTGGTTTAGAGCTCATTAAGAACACCTTGATAGTCTTGTTTTTTCTGTCTGCAATATTTGGGAGTTTTTTAGTTTAAATAAATTTCACTTTTGTTAAATTTGTAACCAAATAAAGTAAAAAAAAATTTACAATTTTCATGGTTCTAAGTCCACTGAGCAGCTCCTCAGACAATATTTGACTGCCCTAAAAACTTCCCTAGATTTGTACTTTTTAAACAAGTAAAATTGTACTTGTTACAAGGAAATTACACTTGAAGTATGACCATCTTGTACCAGACACCCTGTATAATGTATAATACAATTACATAAAAAAAACCAGTACGTTTTAGTACAAAATAAGAAACTTTATCTCAATATCTTCAGTTCAACTTATATTTTCATTGTATTTAGTAGAAACTGTACAGGACAATTCTTATTATGACTTGCTAATGATATTTCGGTAATCGCCTAATATGCTTTGAAAAAATTGCTATTGAAGTTATTAAAAAAAAAATTACAAGGCTTCTTATGAATGCTATAAAAATAAACTGAAATATTCCTTACCACTTTTCTTGTTTAAATTTCTTGCAATAAAAAAAACCTTGCAAATAGAAAACACAGTACGAAATTCGAGCTTTATCACATCTCACTTCAAAGATAAAATGTGAAAACATAAAAACCACTTAAACGCCTGCAAAAAGATTAACAAAACCATGGCAGGTAAACCAACGATGTTAACACAGAAGTACGGATATTAAATAAATACATTTTAAAAAAGTACAATAAATAATTTCCCGATTTATTTTTTGCCATTTATGTACAATTTGCTTCGGTACGGTACTTACTCACTGTCTCGAAAAGTAATATAGGATACACAGAGGGAGGGTCATTTGTACTTGGACAGGATCCCTCACCTTTTTAAGGCAAGACGTAGAGGAGCTCATAAGCTTTCTCGACTCTGGTAAAAAAGTATATAACCAGTTTCAGAGGATTTCTGTGTATCTGCAGTCAGGCCATAGAAGTCTTCTATCGTAGAAGCATCTATTTTCTACAAGAAAGACACATTCACAATTTCACAAACTCACAAACATTAAACAAGAATTTTGTTTTTTTATTTCGATTTGATGCTGACTTTAGTTAATTTGATACAATAGCAAATTGTTTTGAATCATTTAATAAGATTTAAAAAAGTTTAAAACCTTTATGATAGTGCGACGTTGCTTTTCGGAAATTCTTCATAACGAAAATGTACAAAAAAATGTTTAAATTGATTTCTATGTACTTACATCAACTTGATCGTCATCGAATAGCAGCCAGAACCCATGACTCTTAACAATACTGATATAATGTCCTCTATTAGGTCCACTTCCACAGTGTATCACAACGGCAACGAGGTCATACAACCTGTCAGGATTAACTGCGTCATCAGACTACAAACAGAACACGTACAAACCGGCTCCACGCAGAGAGCTAACGCTGCACTTTACTTACGGTATTAAATAGCCGTAGTTCCAGTGGGAACACCACCCGATGCGAAACCTTTATATGCCTGTTGTACTGTTCCATGTACTTGAACCGCTTGAGGTGTAACGCTAGGATCATGGGCAGTTTCTTAACGCGCATACGTTTCTGCGCCTCTTGGTAACTACTGCAGTTATCACATTTGAATTTGTTATCGCTACATAAGGTTTCCGTGTTACTAAAACACCTCAGACAGTGAGTTATACTGGTGTTTTGTTCGATGTCTACTTGTAAATCAAAAAAGTCCTCGTCTTTACTGCTCACATTCTCACAATTTAAACACCGAGTTTCACTTGTTAATATACCCTAAAAAGAGAACGTTAGTATTTTTGCCGATGTAATACTTTGTATTAGTGTTGCCAGATCATTGGTATAGTTCAGCTGGAACTTGGAAGAAGAAGAAGGGTGTGGTGAATAAGGATACCACAATACATGGTAATAAGGGTAATGAGGAATGACGAACAAAAACTTGAGTCGACAGACAACTTTAAATATATCTGTCGTTTCTACAAAATAGCTGACATATTATTTGGACACAATTGACCATAAATAATGAACGAATTTAGGAAGAATTGAATTCATTTTCTCTATTTCTGGTTTTAAATGTGACAGCTTATGATTCACCAGTAGTCAGATATTTTGTTTGGTGTAACCTTGAGATTAAATCCAGACTATTGTAGAATTTATATTTAACTAACCGGTCAATACTATTGTCCATTGTTGACACTGCTATCAGAATATCAAAGGCAGACAAAATTTAATAAAAATTCTTAATTTTACTTTAAGCAAACAACTCTACTGGTTGAAAAACCATTGTATCCAGCTGAAAACCAAATATCTGGCAATCCTACTTATTATTAAGAATTAGAATTTAATAATGAACATTTATGATATTTCAAATATGAGCACAAGTAATCTTTTTGAAGAAAGCGATATTTTTAAGTGTCTAAAGATAGTAATATAATTTCACTAATTATCTCATAATGCTCATAAACGTCTTGTTCATTTATATGTTTACACACAATTTTTTGATTATATACTGTTTAAACATCCAAGTTTTGATTCCTAGTTTAATAGCGGTTTAAACACAATCTTTTGCATCTATTGAAATTAGAGATAAGAATATTTAAATGAACAATTAACCGTGATTAATCTCCCAGATTTTTTATATCTGAGAAAAATACTTCAAATATTTGATTTAGTAAATTAAGCACAACAAACCTGAAATATTTCATGTACCCACGTTGGTTCAGGAGAAACATGGGTAGTACCATTTTCACCTGCCGCTTTTGATTTTACATTATTTGTTGTTGAATTCTGTTGCCTTTCAGCTAAAAATAAATAGAAATGTATCCTTTTTTTACAAACATATTCACATCTCAATGAATTTATACAAATATTCTACATATTAAAGTCATAACCAGATTCTCTTTTTTGATATTTACATACCCAGAATTATTTCACTAATATGATTTATGAGGAAGTTCAAGAATTCGTGTGCATCCTGTTGCATGTAATTGTCAAACTCCTCTAAAACAGAAAAGTTACAATAGTGTGTGGTAAATAAGTGCACTTGATGCTTACCTTTTTCTTTTCGTAGCCTTGCTATAAATTTTTTTGGTGCGATAGAACCTACTTTCTTTTTCTGCGTCGCAATGCTGTGAAACAAATCTGCAAGGCATGTAAGCAACGTTTCTTTCGTCCTTTTATTCTTCGCTTTATACTCTAAAACTTTATCCCTAAATGGCTTACAAAAGTACAAAGCTTGAAGCACTGAGTTACTATAACACGTATTACCAAACTGAAATTAAGAAAAATTTACATTTAACAGAAGTAATTGGAATCTAAACACATACGTTAACTAAACCAAAATAGTGCTCGTTGCAGGGAAACTGTTCTGATCCAATATCTCGTTCTAGTTGGGAAATATTTGCACCCTAAAATTAAATACATTAAAAGTTTAATAAGAAAATTGATGTGATAACATTATGACATGTGAAGATTAAGGATATAATGACGTAATTTAATTCTTATCAGTATAAATTTCTGTGCATAGAAGAAGCTGTATTACCATATTTTGGTTGCTAATCCATAACTTTTAAGTTAAAAATGTGTAAAATTAACACAATTAATAAACCAGACTTCCCCATTATCGCATTTTGACAGTTGACAGCTGTTAAACAAATCTGATAATGAAAATCTGTGTTATTTTTGGTTACACTCTAACGTACAGGTCTGCAGAGCGTAAGAAACTTTTTTGTTCAAAATTTAACAAATGTATGTATAAATAATAATGCAAAAACGATTTTATATTAAACGTCTAACACGGACGTGAACAATTATTAGTATTGCTTTTGTACTAAAATACTAATGCAGTGTTTAGTGTAAACATTAAGTGTAAAAAGTGTAGGTGAAGATAACAGTGCTGTTAGAAGTGGGGGGACAGTTTTTTATTTTGAGATGCGTTCGAAATCTCAAGAGTAAGATTGGGAGAGGGAAGAACAAAGCCTTGCACTAATAGAGTAACGTTAAAGCTTTTATTAATTGTGATGTTAAAACTAATGCATAAATGTGTTTTATATTCTCGGTTACAAAGACTAACGTTGTTACTGTTGATTTGAGACACGCTGAAAGAGATTTTGCGTTAAATAAACTTTTCTAAACATTGTTATATAGACATAAAATAGATAATTTGGAAATGATGTTTAAGCTTTTTGAAACATGGTAATTCTTATCAATGAATTAAACGAGGAAATTTTTATATTCTATTCTCCCGAGTAAGACACGCTGAATTTAAAATATTAAATTGGTTTTCACTGTCATTATTAGAATCATTGTTTATTTTTTTTGTAGTAATTTGGATGTTGTACACATTTCACTGTGCCGCATTGAGATTTTGAAAATAAATAACACAAATTCAGTCAAAATTAATTCCATTTTAATGCTAATAAATATTACAATTATTACAAATATAAAATATATTATTAACATTAATATTTTAATCTTACACTTATCCTTCAACGAAAATATACAATTTTTACAATGAACACCCATTAATAATATGGTAACAATACAGAATGTAACTATATTGTAAATTTATAAAAATGACATGATAGTAAACAATAGCTAGGTTTTTAATGTAAGAGTTTTCAAAATAATGCAACATCTGCTTGAAAAGTTGATCGAACACTTATAGTTTTATATTAAACATCTTTTACAAGTACAGACTTTCGATCATATTTAATTCTTGTTTATGTGATTAAGGGTATTCTTCTAAAGAAAAATTTTCGTCATTTGATTAATAATAATATGTTGGTTTATCCACAAAAAATGTGCGCGATCCCGCGATTCTTTCCCGAGAGATGTTATTAATGTAAGTAAACCGATGAATCATACTAGGAAATTGTTTATAAGTTGGTTGTTAGCAATATTTTCAGTGGCCTGACAATTACAACATTTAAAAGATTGGATGATTAGGATTATATGACTAGTAATAAATGACGCTAGATCGGTTTCCCGACTTGAATGGACCACCAAATAAACCTGTTCTTTTTGTGCTTATCAAGAATTTAAAGGAAACATCCCCTTCTAAGGGGTGGTTGGAACGTCATTTATGTTTCTTGAACCATAATCATCCAATCAATTTTCCAGGCCGTCGAATACCCTCAATCAATTATTTCTATATCACATCAAAGCACTTCTTACGTAACCTCTCAATATTGGGGTGACATATGATGCTAAGACTATTCGTAAAACATATGATTTCACTTTGATTGTGACACGTTGAAACGTACTACGTAACTACGTTTATAACGCAGAAAGTGTAATTGACTACATTCAAGTCGTATTCAGTAGGTACTATTGATGGCAATTAATTAACGAAAGATTAATTACACTTTCAGCTGTACAGCCCTTTCATAGGAAAGTACCAATAATAATTTAGATCGGAGGAGGCGGAATTACGCGAAAGTATAACTGGTTGCATAAAACTCAATTTTCCACAGCCTCCTTTTTGGATAAGGAATGATTATCCGTTAAACAGAACCTTCAGAAATGTTTACAAGCCACGTCATCAGCGAGCTTAGGCAACCAATATTGCAGGGTTGGTACTGGTAATGAAAATCTTGGCGTTACCAATAATAAGGATTCGTTTACAATAAACAATGACAAACTGTTACGTCTACGCTCGAGATAATGCGATCGCTGATTTGTTGAATAGAATCTTGTGAAAAATTACATCAATCACAGCCGATGAAACAGAATGTTGTGTTTTAATTTAATCTTGATCTTCATAATGTTTAATTTTACCGAAATTTTATTGCCAACATGAAGGAAATAAAATTACTGTTCTAAACAAAATTACTGGTCACGTGACTTGTAATCATTTATGAAGATTGTGTATATCTTGCTATAAATACTTATGTAATAGTTTATGTTTTTACATACGGAAAATATTGTTTGATGCAACACAATTTAAATTATATTTTGAGTCATAGGAAATTTTATATAGTGTTTAACAGCATATAAAATTTCGTTGTTTTTTAAATATTACAAAGATGATTTTCGATAAAAAATGAATTTATGAAGAAATTCTAAGATAGTTTTAAAATGTGATAATTTAAAAATGTGTTTCCGTAAGTTTTTGAATGATTATTGGTTTATTTTATACTCATATACGCTGAATGGTTGACATAAAAGTTAAGATTGACAAATTCAGTGGCATGGGAAGACATTTCCGCAAATAAACATTCATAATTTCTTAAACTAAATTAATAGTGATCAATTATTTGTAGTATTCTTTACCCCGGCATTTGCAAAAAAAAATAAAATGGTCTCATTGGCGTAATACATATATTCAGACATTTATTTAAAAATTATGAATTTTAGTCTCAGTAGGTAATTAATTAATTTTTCATCTTCAGGTGTTTGCAAAACCTCCTAGACTTTTAAACCGAAACAAAAATTTAAAATTTTATATCCACGTAAAAAAAGTTAAAAGTATTATAAGTTGAATTCCGTTATATATAAACAGAATATTCAAGTTGTATGTTCCAAAAAATTTTAAATAAATGTCCTGGTTTTTAATGAGCCACACTGTATACAAGTGGTTAGTGATAACTCCGTTGACATATTCTACTGTTAAAAATAATTGGAATTTGCCATACAAAAATGTTACAATCCACGTTTTCTTAGTTACAGGGTGTTGAAAGTTTCATAAATTTGTTTAATTTTTATCAATAACTTAAATTCCAAAGCAAATTATGTTATAAAAATTGGTGGTTGATATTTTTTTTAATGCGAACTACACTTGGCACAGAAATTAAGGGATATTAAAAAAATCCTAACATTTTGGGTGATTTGCAAAGAGCTATAATTTGGAGGGAAATGGCAATTTTTATTCTCTTTACGACCATTTCCCTCCAAGTTACAGCTCTTTGAAAATCACCCAAAATATTGGGATTTTTTTAATATCTCTTAATTTCTGTGCCTAGTGTATTTTCCCACGCTAAAATTATTGTAAAATAAACTCCAGTGGCGTAGTTGCAGGGTAAAAAATTATAAAAGTTTGAACACTTTTCGACTTTAAAGAAACGGGAAATCAAAAATTGTATATACCTAGGTATGACAAATCCCAATTATTTTCATTTGTAGAATACGTCAATGAAGCTTGACCAAAATTATCATTAACACCACAAACATGACATGACAAGTTAAATAATTTTTTAAACGTAATTTTGAACACTACAAAATAAACTACCATTCAGTGTACATGTCATGGATATAAATCAGGTGTAGATATGTGCATCAAAATGCAGAAAACTTATTTTCGATAGCGTAGGTACATATTTTTACATCATACTTATGAGTATTATTTGACAAGCTTCAAAGCAAAAAAATGTTAGAAGAAAAATGTTAATTGGGATTTGGAAGCTTTAGGATATATTTTTCCCAGAAAAGTATCAAGGGAATCGAAACATTTTTTAATAAATTTAAAATTTGAAATGTTTTATAAATTAATGAAATAAATAATAATAACTTACAGTTAAAGTTCTACACTTCTCTTTATCCCTACCTCCGTATTTGAAATTAAAGTAGAGTATAACTACATTTTATTTTTATTTAATTATATCCACTTTTGAAGAATTGACTTCCATCATAGGGCCATAAGACATGGAATTGTTTGCACGTTTACATTTCCTTCAATGTAAAAAAATAACTTGGCGTACAAAAATATTTCTTGTAATTTGACATGACCACGTACGTCAATGTCATCCGGTAAAGTACCTGGTAGAAAAAAACACGAAAATCATAATTTAATGGGAATTCAAATCCAGCAGCAGCGTTCGGATCAAACGGCATCTTCATCTTTCTTCTAACTCTTAATTGTCTTACAGGTATTCATTAAATACACATGCACACAAAAAAATATTTACACAGTTACGAACAGTACTTGGTTCTATAAAAGTATTAATAAGTAGGTTTTTTGTATGGAGTTTTCATTTTCAGTCAGTCGATCTTCACGTCGGTGCGTTTGCGTTATCGTAACCCGTGATCAAGGTTTCTATGATAAATTTAATAGTTATTTTGTATATGTTTTCCACGTTGTCCGTGTAGCGGTCGCCTAAGGTGGTTTGTACGGCCTCTAGGAACGGTTTTTCTATTTTCTGAAACAAAAAGAAATATTAGCTTGTAAAATGTATCGGTATTTTATTATTGCAGATATTTTTCTAGTCTGAGGTCAATTTCTATCTGAATAGCGATGAAGCTTCTGAATTCTGTATGAGCTTTATTTTAATCGAATTGAATAGCTACAAAATAAAGTTAAACTTGTCAATCCATTCCTTAAGAGGCTGTACCTCCTTCTAATGGAGTAGTTTGTCTCTGATCTGAAGTTTCGCATCGATCAAATTATTCCATATGCATCTAGCGACATTCTAATGTGTGAACAATCCAGGTTGTCGTTTGTGGGTGTGTGAGTGAGTTTGACTCTTTGCTTGGTCGAGTGTATGACAAATGTTTTTATGGCAGTCGGTAGCATTGTGTATTGTGAGTATAGAGCGGCACACAGCTTGATCGCAGATTTAGTCTATTTCTGCTACTACGAGTATTGCCGCTTACTAGCATAATACATATTACTACTGTTTATTTATTTGATTGTCGACACAAAGTTTCCGATGTCTAGTTGTTATTAACGCCAAAAATTCGTTACAAATTTGTTTTAACGCTTAGTATTCAGCTCGTTCTACTTTTTTTTTAAGGTTAACTAATCAATACTTGAACAATAACAATTTTTTTGTTGTCTGTTGTAACACCGCCGCAATATTTTATTTTAAATGCTGCGCCTTCGTATTATAACCTTCAGTTGTATTTTTTATAACAGCTGGTCTTAAAGAATAAGAGAAAAACTGGCAGATATTTATGATAGGAACGCGAAGAGCTATCTACCCTCTTCTCTGCGAAAGCTTGCAGCGAGACAGACCGTAGGTATTATATATTTTTTTTAGATTCCTTTCCCAATTCAGAGTGGTATTATTATTTTTTTATAATATGGCTAGTTTGGACAACTGATAATTTATCTTTGAACTAGTAAACTTTTATTCAGTAGAGACTCCAGAGAGTTGCTCTCAGTAATACAATACTTAAAACGTAATTTTGATTAATGCGAAAGTTGGAAAAAGGTTTTTTATTTTATTGTTTATTGCTGTATTGTATTTTATTTGATTTTATTATTTTTATTGTCATTAAGAATTAAGTTTCAAATATTAAATATTTTCGAGATACATTCTAATAAATACTGTATTGGAATCGTGATTATTATTGTTGAAATTGATGTAGTACACGTTTCCAAACGATAATTTCGATTCAAATTCGTCGAATTTATTATATTCGAAAACTTATATAAAAGGCAGGGTCGTCTTTACAAGGTATGAGGCCCTAGGCGCAAGTATCGATGGGGCCCCCAGTAAATGTAGAAAAAACGAATCAAACCTTTCGAATATCAGAAGCTGAAGTCATATATGCGTAACCCTATAATTGTAATGCGCTTTTGACAGAAGTTTAGGTCATAACTTAATAAGCACATAAGCAACTATTTCAAATGGCACCGGAAAAAATTTATTTAAAAATAACCCTACACCATTTATGAAATAATTTTACATAGGACAGGATATTTGCTATAGATAAAAAAATTCTGTGTAAAAGCTGTGTACAATTTTTTCTTGTAAAAAATATCTGTTTAGAATTATTTCCAGTACGGACTTGGATTATTTTTGTGTAAAGTTTGTCCAGTGTCATTCAAATTTACCGCGAGCTTTGTTCTAGTAGTGCGCGCATGCCCGACTGGACTGCTCAATGTTATTCAACATTGTTTCTGAAGTAAGTGGTTCGAGGACTTTAGGTCTTTCGTTGAAAGATTTCATCGGCAATATATTATAGTAAATAATTTTTTTTCGGGATTGTAATGTCGGGGTCCCCAACATGCCCGGGGCCCTAGGTCCGGGTCTATTAAGCCTTTGCGTAAAGACGGCCCTGATAAAAAGGGACGAGAATTTAAACTCACGAGGAAATGGTATGCGGATATTTTAAATATTTCCAATTTCACTGCCTACAACAATTTTTGAGCGCTTAATCAGCTCCAGGCTTACTACAATAATTCGATGTAGGTATTTCTCAGACTGTAAAAAAAATCCGTTCGTCGAGCCTCGAACATGATTCAATTTCGACGCCGTTACCATAACTTACCCAAAAATACTCCACTTTAAAGCCGGGTATCCTTCGATGAGACGCCCCGACTTGATGCAAGTACTCGAAGAAGGCGTCTAAATTATCGAGCCCTTTGATTCCCTCATCAAGGGTGTTCATTACCGTGCTGGCGTGCTCCTGCAATTCCAGACTATTCGCTTGATCTTCTTTCGTTTTCAGTTCTTTGAATTTCTCGAATAAATTTAATAACTCCCCGTGCTCCTCGAACAATCTGAAAGTAAAAAAGATATTATTTACTTCTGCATCGGTGATTGGTTCGATTTGTGACAGGATATATAAAATTCTATGAACTGTGAGATTATGAAGTAAGTACCTACTAAAGCCATTTCGTTATTTACTTTTATTAGATATTAAATTTATTTTAATAAATTCGATATTGGATAAACTAGAATGTAATCGCATTGATTGAACATAAAATATTCCCTCTGGTATATAAATGATTACAATGATTAATTATTTGCTGAAAATAATTGCCAACGCATATTCCGTTTGATGTAAATATTTCACTGCCATGAAATGTTATTAAGGAAATTAATGCGAGCATTACCAAATACTGATTTTGAGTTTGTCGACGGCCTGGCTCGACAAAGATCCAAAATGGAATTATTGGGAATATGCCCAACTCAGACAATAAATTATTACGTGCACAGGATATAGAGTGATCAAATTGAAAATAAAGTAGAAAGAAAGCAGTGACAACATAACGGAAATATGTTTTTATGTTATCTGTGAACTTCTGTCCAAAATTTATTATTACCAAAGTTCCCCTCTCAATTTTGCAACTACTAAAGGTTTTGATTGAACTGTAACTGTTGTTGAAATATCTATAAGTGTTACAAAAACATGAGGTACTCTTCATAATTCAAACGACAATATGAAATACAATAATAGAGCGATATAAATAGGTTATGTTTTTTTATTCATCGTTTTGCGACGGAACTTATATCTGCAATTAAATACGCAGATTGGTTGAACTTTTCAAAGCAAGTAGCAGTCCATATTCTAATAGATATCAGCGCTTAACCTCACTTTTCATAATGTTGGTACTACTGAGATTCGCGTAATTTGGCGGCTGCTGTTTCCAAATCCAATCGAAGGGTGTTAATGAAAACAAAAGAAGAAAACGCGAAGTTGGGATTTTAATTAACCGACACCTTCTTTAATTGAATTGTAGGAACGTCGTAACTCCGCTGCCCGCTGATTTAATTAAGACTGTGTTTACTGGAACGGGATTTATTCTAATGACTTGGGGAGTATCTTACGTAAATATTTAAATGTTAACGTACTGACGGTCGCAAATTATGCCCTGGGGGGGAAACGAAGTTATTGTAAGAGATAATTTAGTGCCTTGTATATAACAGAATAAATGGTGAATGGGTTTGTCACATCTGCGGGAACATTTAAATGACAAAAGAGCTTTATTACAGTGGATATTGTTGAGAAGGTGCGGTTTGAAGTCAAATTCTGCGACATTTTCCCCTGCTATTCACCAAAATTTATCCCTGTGACTTATGGAAAAGTGCAAACTATTTAATCATGGTAATTCAGTGACTTATCTTCAAGTAATCATAAGAACAAAACGGAATATAATTCCCACAACTTCAATATGGTTTTGGAGTAACTTTGAAGGTGGTACAGTGACGGTTTCCATCTGAAAACTTAGGTCTTTGCATTGTGAAAGCAAATTAGCAATTTTCATTAAGTTAGTTTCAGTTCCTACTAGATTTCCAACAAGCATTCACGCTTTCATGAGTCTTGTTTATTGAAATGAACGCTAGTAACTTGGTGTATTAATATTACGTTACACTTTGTCGAGAAAATACCGAACTGTCTGAAAGTTTGGGAGTTATTATAGTGACATAGTTGGTCCCTGTGGACTTGCACTATTTAGACGTCGGAACTCCCTTTAGAATTCTTGGTAGACAACTTTAATGGACGTGTTTACCTATCCACAAATAATTTTGTCTCGGATTTACTTACGCAAATTTAGCCAAAGATAAATTGTTTGCAGAACACCAAACCATACACGATAAACAAAAAACAGTAAATGTATTGTATCACTTCTTCATGATTTTGTTTTTAATTCTTGATATAAAGTCCAAAAAATATTGAGAAAATTTGACATGCACTGTAAGAGCTCTTCTGAGTACACCTGTCTGGCGATTTGTATTTCTTTGTAACGCTATTTTAGTTACTTGTGTTTTTCAAAATTCAATATTCGTTTACACTTCAACAAACTGGTTTTATTATATCACTTTCATTTCATTCCCCGTTTCATTTTTCTCAGGAAGAAGCAAGTCACGCATAAAGCTGTATTTATAGGATGTTAACCTGGATATATTTCTTTTATAGTCCTCCATATTCAAGGCACATATATTTTAAAATGTATTCCAGGCATTCGGGATGTTTGGAAAATATATAATGTTCTCCTTCGTTCTCTTACTTATGCAAATTTTATAACAGTGGATCTTGTATTCGTTCTAAAATAAAGATGAGGAACATCAAATTCTGCACTAGAAGTTGATAATGATAACGACTTGGCAAAGAAATCTGTGGCTCTGCGGTCTGGCAACTTGGAGGTAATGAGTTTGGAATAAGTTATTTTTGATCCTCTAATAACGATATTATAGCCATTCAGTTTTTTACAGGTTTGCCTTTGAAGCCAAATATACAAAATTTAGTGGCAAGGCAACGAATGTTAAATTATTGTTAATATTTTCCTCGTAAATGCTCTCTAAACATTACTTTTATAATCCTGAAATTAAACTAAACTTCTTGTCAAGGAATTCCTAATTAGATCATAAAAAATAAATCGCAGAGCTTTAGGAAAATTGAATTACTCAACTGTGACCAAATATTTTACCGACACAAAGCAGCAAGAGATTAAGCAACCCTTCATAAATTTTAAAGTTCAACGCCACAGCTTTAAGCCTCTTGGTGTTTCTGCTGTTCCAAATGACTGTGACTTTAATGAGATCATGCAGGCATGAAATTAGGAAGATTTACGAATTAACGTGTTTTAAAAATATGAAGTCTTTGTGATATTTTGTAAATTTTAGGGTTATTATAACCCGGCAACTCAGTCCGCAAGTAACAACGTTTAAATAATATTGTGATGCAAACGTGTAACAATGACAACATTCACTCCTCAAGAATACTGTGACATAATACTGCACCTACGAACGTTTCCCGATAGGGATAATAAACCGCCCTAAATTTTCTATGTGATGATCACTTGTTTTGAAACACTTTTTAGAAGCAATAATATGTGGGGTGTTTGACCGATACTATTTCATTTAATTTAGATAAAAGTGACATTTATCTCTCCAGCATGATTATTTTGGGAAGCAGAGGTAGTATTTCTTTTCTGACTTCATAAATTACTTATTTCCAATGCAACACAGACAGTATGTAGATTTATATACCAACATCTAAGCGGCTACTTAAATATTTACGAGTATACTAGTCGGATGTATATAATATCTGACAGTTTGTGCAAACTATATTTAAAGCGTGATATCTTAATTGCTTAATCTTATTCTATTTTACAAATGAGGAAAACATTATTTCAGATAATTTGTGAAGTTACAATATTTTCACGTAGTGAAGGTTTGGCAAAAACGGAAGACTTCATCTTAATATGCCCTAGCAATATTTCAAAGAAAAAATTGTGATATCACACACCATTCTCGCACTTTATGCTGACCCATATATCAATCGTCCCTCCTGCTTATTAGACGGATGGAACCTGAAACTTGTGTCATGCCCTTTTATATACCCATCTCTGGGAAAGGGTCTCTTAAGTGCTGTAGATATGAGTGCATCTTATGATTGATATTTTTTGGATATAAATTTAAAAAAATATGTAAAATAGTTCGATCCGATCTTTGGATTATAACCGGTATAACTTTCTTTTATGAAAATATAAAGATTATGTCAGAAGTTTTATACGAAGTATTGTTGATATGCTGTACCAAATTGAAGTGTTGTATTCTGTTACAAATCTATAAAAAAGTTCCTATAAATGCCTTTTTTTTTCGACATACAGGGTACTGAAATTAATTATTGACAAATTCAGCATATTTTTGTCCGTAATTAATTAAGTCATTAGTTCACGTTTCATCAATCCATGTTAATCATCTTCAGAGATATTTAAATCAATACTTTTTTATTGATTTGTGAAGAAGAATGCACCACTAACGTTTGGCAAAGTATATCATTAACACCTTGTCTATTTTGTACGTACATAAGTCCAAATAGTGACGGTAAACTGGATTAGTACAAAGGCATAGGTATTATTTAAAATTAATAGATAGAATTTAAAATCAATACACTTTCGAATAATATGGTCCAAACTAGTAAGGCTCACGAGAAATAATAGACAATCGATTTTATATTTGGTAATAAAAAGTAATGAAAGGGATCCATTACTGATTCTAAATATAGAAAGCCATTTTATTGTGCAAAATAACCTATAAATATAAAAAAGCAATTTTTAGAAACTTGGGAACGGTATTTAGTGGCTATAAAACCGCAGGGATAAAGTAAAATTACTACAGCACTGTGTCTCTATCAATTTTTTAATAGCAATTTGTATAAATAACGAAGCGCAATAATCGTTTAGGTGTAGGTTGGGCTGTCTAATAAAATTGGTAAACCAATGTTGGAACAGAGAAATTCTATATAAAATGAATTGAAGTTGCTACTTCTAGATGTAAGCTGTTTTTTAAAGGGAACATCCTGTACTTTTTGGTAATTTTAAAAATACAAGAAACAAAAAACCACCATTTTCGGTGGGAAACCTCATACGATTCGAATTTTTCAAAATATTACTAAATTAGGGGAATGACGATGTTTTCAGTGGAAGCTTGAGAATTAGGAACTTTCATTACGTTAATATTGGCAATTCTGTCATGTTTTCTTGTGTTGCTAAGTTGGCAGCAGTGTTGCTAATTTTTTTTGCAAGTGTTGTCTAAAATGCGAAATATTTAATAATAATTAATTGAGCAGTCATTGTATAAAATGCTATATTATTTAAATAAATTTACACATATAATTTTTATGAAACAATTAAGAACTGTCAAAAAAGGTGTTAATTTAGAATCAAATAGTACGATATTTACAGTTCCAACGATGAGAAAATATAAAAATCTCTCAAATACGATTGGCGATTTTGTCACAACTATAGTTTCAAAATAATACAATTTGTGA